AAACAAGACGCGTTGAGGCGTTCATTCCGGCAGCGACGGACAGCAAGGTATACACCCTGAAGCTTGGTGTATAATTTGAGGGTGGGGCTCAAGATATTATGTTCCCTGTGAAAACCATTAGGGCAGTTATACAAGTAACAACCTGATCTACGTGATATAACAGCACAAATCCGTTTAGTCCCTCTAAAAACAAAACAATGATCCTCTTCCACTGAATCCAATGATCCTCTTCCAATTTTTTTACCCTGAATCATACCTGGAAAAAATGGGATCTCCGGATCCTGAGGAACATTTGACTTAGCAACAAGATTGAGGAACATTTTGAATTTTTCACGCGTACTGTAAGGGAGAATTTTAAGGAATCATATTTAGTTATCTGCCATTTGAGTCTATTTTGAGATTGCGAAGTGTTCTTCATATCCTGTTAATAGAATTTGAAGATTGTTTTGTTTCCTGAGCAATTTTACAACCAATATAATTGAGGAACATTTGAAAAAGGCAAATTCAGGATCCGAAGAACATTGAACACTTTTTCCAGGTCTGCCCTGAATTCTCTGGTATTATACTTAAATGCTGTAACAAATTATGACAGCATTTTGCTTAAGTTGCCTGGTCGCATGTTTAGGTAATGGAAATGGTGGAAACCCAAGGAAAGAGATTGGAAAAACCAGACAAATGTCCAGAACATACGTATCAACTTATGTTAAGATGTTGGGATTTACAGTCTGAGAAACGTCCTACGTTTGCAGAACTGCATCAAATCTTTAAAACAAATCCGCTCTATTCAGATGTAGAAATAAACGCGTGATAGTGTACACAAGAACTAACAACTTTAATCTGGATTGTAGGGACGAGAACTGCAATCCTGGACAAAACTGTTAATAATAAGTGGCCGATTACATAGCATCTTCAGCCCAGCCTTGTTTCTTATAAATTTCTATAAAATCCTTTAATTTCGGCCTAATTACATCTCGGTTAACCCGATTGAAATTCAGCCCGGGCTGGTCTGAAAAGCCTTCATGTAATCGGTATATAAAATTGTTCAAAATAGGGGGAACACGTTTTCTGCGCCATTTAATTGCAATTATTTTCCTCGTACTCCAGACTCCTAACATTGTTTAGAGTTAAGAGGAATATTTAAAGTGCATATGACATGAAATTTCTTATTTTCTTAAATGAAAGAACTCTTTAAGCTGTAGTGTAAGTTATTTTTCAGTTTCTTGTTTTTATGGTTTGTTCCCGAGATATTTCAATTTGTTTGATATGTAGCCTAAATGAGTGTGAATATGTCCGCCAATTTATGACGTCATGTTGGTTGCAAGCTCTTCAAAATGGTTGAATATCACGTCTATCATCCAAGATAATAATTTCTAACTTCACTCACTGGTAAATGTGATGAAACACTGTGGAAAAACGTGAATAAATATCTACAGTTTTTAGAGTTAATAGATTTATAACCAGTGTAAGTTGAGCTTGCAACAAACGTGACGTCAATAAATTGGCGGACATATTCACACTCATTTACATATCAAACAAATTGAAATATCTCTGGAACAAACCATCAAAACAAAAACTGAAAAATAAGTTACACTGCAGCTTAAAGAGTTCTTTCGTTTAAGAAAATAAGAAATTTCATGTCATATGCACTTCAAGTAAGATCTACAATCCTGGCAAAAATTATTGTGGATGGCGCGCGCATAGAAATACCTGCCTTGCCCAATTATATCCATCCAACAGCAATTTTCAACTTCTTCTCCCCCCGTTCAAAGTTGAAAGCTTATAATTTGGTTGGGTGAAAGCTTTGTGAAATAGAATGTCATAACCAACATTGTACGGGGAAGCGGGGGAAATAATAATTTTTGCCATGATTGTAGGTCTAGGAATCATACGACAATTTAAACACTCATTCTAGCATATATTAGGGTTCGTACAAAACTTGAAAGTCCTTGAATGTCCTTGAATTTGAAAACAAAAATTCAAGGCCTTGAATGTCCTTGAATTTGTAAAGAAGTACTTGAATGACCTTGAATTCTTCCTGTTTTAGTTTTTGGACATTTTCTGAAATTGTTTGACATTCAAGACGGACATTTTGTTGAACTGATTTTGCATGTTCATATATCTGACCTCATTATAAAGTTACGTTTTGAACAATTCAAGTCAGATTTTGCTGATTTCTAACGCCTTCTTCTTCAGTATTTAGTCCTTGAATTTGCTGATACATGGCCTTGAATGTCCTTGAAAAGTACTTGAATTTGAGTCTTCCTGACATGTACGAACCCTGATAAATTACTGACTGCTGCCCAAGCTGAGAAGTGAAATTTCTGCACATTGTCTCTGACTATAGGGAGAAGCCAGCAATGAGGCAGTCACGCATGTTGCTAAGAAACCACGTCATTGGAAGTTACCTTCAAAGTCACAAGAATGCAGAGAAATAAACTCAACGTTACAAGATGAATGTAGAGAAATAGCGGATGAAGTCAAAGATATGTCCATGCATGAACATGTCTCTGCTAACAAACCTCACGTTTTGACTGGCGCGGTAACATGCGGCCACGAATTACATCAAGACAAAGTTCCAAAGCAGCCCGAACACTCGAAAACATCAGGTACACAATGGAGTCCGGTTATTTATTGTGTTATATAGTAGGTGTATGACTTTTTGTGCTAACTGATGCTTAGTAAAAATTTGCTGATAGTAATAATCAAAGAAACTGGAGTCACATATTCCACCTATGGACTAGTGGTGCTTTCAAGTTTTTCTCCAGATACCAGGCATGAGCTCATATTAAGGTCAACTGCAATGGGTCCATATGAAGCTTTGCTCTCATAAGTCGCCAGGGGGGAGGGGGGAGACTCAGTACATCGGTGTATGGTCGCTTTGATGGTCGGACTGGTTAGATCGAGGAAATTGGTAAATGGAGCAAAGATCTTCCATTAATTGTTAAAGAAAGAGTTTTAAGATCTTGCCTCATTTCAGAAAACAGGAAATGGCTAAACTGACACACTAAATGTCACTAAATTTCCACACCACTAAATTTCCACATGCACCACTTCCGTCCTAGCTTTAGATTATGTTCTTGCGTTCCAGCCTGACCGATTTCCGTCACTGAAGGGTGAACCCAAATAAAATCTGCCTTGTTCAGCGTTTCTCGCCTAGACCAGAAGTAGATGTGATGGTAACATTTCGGACGTGATTCCTGAAACTAAGCGCATAAACGCAGGCTACGTCTATATTTGCACTTGTGTCTGTAGTTCCACTTGGTCCTTTCTCACAAAGTTTCTTTGACATTTTGTTTGTAGAGAACGTTGTACAACCTGAAATAATAGAACCAATAAGATACAAGGTAACTGAAGACTTACTGCGCCCGGGAAGAATAAAGGAGCAGTCGAAGAAACAGGTGTGTATAGGACTTCACAGAGTTGAGTCGATGCTCTCTCAGTTAAACTGTTGTCATTAAGAGTGGATTTTCTGACATAGAGACAGTCATGTTATGTTGAAATTTCACAGAAAATCATGGCGTGAATTTTCAAATTTTCAGCATCCAATGGGATACCAGAAACCTGGAATCTGGTATTCATCCAGAAAAATATTGTTTCCCACATTCGGGTAATAGATAGGTAGCAGAATCAAAATATTTAAGAAAAGTTCAAAAGTAGTTTTCTTTGAGAGAGAACCTGCATGTATTCCGGCGGGGAATATCGCGTGGAGTAGTGCAAATTTCAAGCTGTGGCAGTAGTGTGAATTGAAATAAAGATTTTGAACTAAGTGTAAGACTACAAACAAGGATTGTTATGTTATGTTATGTTATGTTATGTTATGTTATGTTATGTTATGTTATGTTATGTTATGTACAGGAACAGAAACAACTAGCAGTTTATCGACGGTTATTTATGGACATTGAAAGAGAGCAAGTACGGGAAAATCTACGAATGAAAGAACACAGAAAACGTATGACCAAGTAAGGTGGATATTCGATACTGTCTGTAACTATAAGAAAACATTTCGACGTTTCGAAATGAATGAAAATTGTCCAGCACGAAAGAATCGCTCGCAGGAAATGTTATAGCTACATCTGCACGAAATTTGTTAGGTTGAAAATTTGCAATTTGAAAATATAAACTATAAGCCCAACAACATATGGTTGACGGGCGTCTGGCCGTGGTCAACTTGGACATCATGACCATGTTTAGGCACAGATTTAGCGCAAAAATACTCAGTTGGTCAACAGGAATTATTAATTTCCAGGTTGTGCTCCCATCCCACCACTAACGCTTCTGGCCTTTGTTCGTTGAGCTATGTCGGAAGCCTCAGATATTGAGTGTCAGTGATAGTCGATGGTATATATAATTATGACAATCATTTTCACAATCGACACTGAACCTGCCGTACGTGGATTAAGACCTTCGTGTTCCTAAAATACATGGCATATTCTACAAATGCTCAATTTAGCCCATCGTATGTTTTCTAATTTATTTTCATAATACAGGCTTAAAAACAAGCAAGAAACAAAACGAAAGGAAGTAGAATACGAAATTGATGAAATAATTGAAGAACGAAATCAAGTTACACAGCAGAAGGTAGTTAGAGAAATAGAGTATTGCTTGCGGTGCTAAACAGTGCAGAAATAGTATACAATGTCATGTAACTTCTGGTGGCGAAAAACGTGCTGAAAAATGTCTGAATGTCCCAATTAGGAATCAAATCAATTGGGCCCTTGGCTTGCTGTTAGCTCACAATGGACAGGGTACTGGTTGGTTAAATCATGGATAATAAAATAAAATAAATGGATAGGAAACTAGCTGACATGACCTAATGTTTTCAATGGGATGATGGCGTGGTTGGATGTTGAAACCTAGTTGCAAACCAAATTCTCAAAAACGGCATGTTTAGCAATAATACAGCTAAACATTTTAGTCAAAGAGCAAATAAATATAACTACGCCATTCTACGATGAAATCTCTAAGTATTTCCAGTCAATTTTAGCAAATATTTCAAGCACTAAGCAGTGAAAAATGCATCCCAAATTTCGTTAAAATTGGTGACGCCAATTTCGTAGCTACAAATGTAAAAAAATACAAAACAAAGACAAAAACATTTACCTTGAATACTTTGTCGTGGCTTAGGCATTTTTTAAAACAATTGTTACGAGGCTTTATTTAGGCAGTGTAGTGAATCGTTACAACAATCTTAAATAATTATCAGTTCTTAATGTTCGTCTTCTCGTAGTAGTTTCCTAAAGTTCACTTCTTTTCACTTTACTCATCAGTCTTCACTTTACTTCACTTTGCTGATCAGTCTACAGACGAATTTCGGTTGTGCACGCCCTTTTATACTAACGGTTGAGGGAATCTTTGTCCACGTGATGTAGCAAGTGGTGTGATTTGTATCCAGCCAATCAACTTTGAGGTTTAAAAGTGTGGGTTGGCGTTGGTAGCTCGTTCCAGCCCTCAAATTCTGTTTATTTAACTATTTAAGGCGTTGTCGCACTTGTCGAGTCGGTTCGCTGTTCAATCGATCAATGTTAAAATATGTTCACAACTTGAAATACTTATCAAAATATCATAGTAAAAACTTCAACTTATCTCTATGTGAACCTTACTTTACCTACTAAACTAAATTTACTTATAATTTTATCGAACCAAGATTTTGATGACGTAATGTTATCATTACTCAACCGCGCGAAATATACCGAAGAATGATTGACAGAAATGCCCTAAGCATGCACATTTTCATGTCAGAGAAGAACCAGCCTTGGACTTTGAATTATGTAAACACAACAGCCCACCATGCAAGGTTATCGTCCAACTTTGACAAATTGACGAGTTATCATATTAACTTATCTATCTTGCCTAATGGACAGATAATTGACATTTTTACGCACGTCCGAAATGAGATATACTTTATCTGTTTATTTTTCGTCAAAAATGCTCATTATCTCTCCATTCGACGTAACTAGTATTTTATAGTTACCTGGGGTGCAAATTGAACTATTTTTATACTATTTAGATATACTTTCGTAACACAATTAGACCAGTTTATGCTTCGATATTACTCTTTTAAAGCGGAAATATAGCGAAACAACAAATACGCGTGACGTCACAGATTGCAACTAGGTTGAGACTGACGTCAGCTAGTGTCCTTCCATTTATTTTATTATCCACATGCTGTGGTTAAATCAAAGACCTTAGTTTCGATTTCCTTGACCCAGGTATTGCTTCACATGCAATGCGTTTTTCCTTTACAGACAGTATTAGAAAAGAAACTAAGTGAAGACAATTACAATAGTGAAATCCTAAAAGAACACAAAAAGGTGCAGAAAGAAAAAGAACTGGAAAGGTAGAGTAACTTAATAGTGAATACTAAATTGGTTGATTCTCGTTAAAGGTTTCAGGTAAGTGGTACGATGTTTGCCCTAAATCTTATAGGAATGTTTTTACTGCTTTACCAAATCTACCAGGGGCGGCGTAGCAGGTCCTTTTCATTATCCAAAAGTGCCCATGGAAGCAGTGGCGTAACGCTCATTAGGTAGGGTTAGTTCAAAAACTGTTAGGTAGGTTAGTTCAAAGACGTGTTCTTCAACTGTGAAAAATATAAAAAATAAGCAGAACTTTGAGAGTGATGGCCCTTTGTCACGCTACTACTAAGTTCTCAATCTCGTACCCAGAGCCATCGTTGCTAAGTTCTCGACGGAAGGCCTTAGGTCGAAGTCCTGCTAATATTTTTCACGTAGTTGTCTATCTTCACACCACAGCTGTCAATTTCTTCAACAGCGTATTTTCACTTGTTCTTTAGATACGTGCATGCCCTTCGAGCTACGCTCAAAGAAAAGCTTGTGAAACGAAAGCTTCACGTTCCTGCGTTGTGTTCCTGTGGTCCGACGATATTTGATACAAATCCAGAAACCTGCGCAAACAACTGTATATTTTACAAAAATCATAAAGGTCGGTAAGATAGGCAACCTTTGTTGTGTTGACAGTCATTTGGCCAGGCGACCGCCCAACTGTCCTAAGGACGGCCATGCAATCAGGGGCGAAACTAGGCTAACTAGCCCCTTTTAATTCGGAGGGTGTCTGCCAGAATTGCCCTGCGAAAACCGATGATGCCCTCAGCAATTTTTTTATTTCTGGCCACTATTTTTCCCAAAAACGTTGGCGAGCGGGGCGGGGGGTTGAAAAAATTTTTTCCGGACAAAAAAAGGGTCGAAAAATTTTTCCGTACATAAACCAGTTAAATTAAGGGTGAAAAAATTTTTTTCGTACAAATTGCTGTTAAAACATGGGTGAAATCCTTATTTTTGGACCAATATCTGCAAAATTTAGGGCTATAAATTCTATTCAATTCTCTCTGAAAGCCCTGTAAGTTACTTAATAACTCTACATTCTATCATTTAAAATCTTTGATTGCCCTGCCAATCCAGATCATTCGCCCTGCCAATCCTGATGATTCGTATTTTGGGGGGTGTCACCCCCCCCCCATACCCCCTAAAGTTTCGCCCCTGCATGCAATTTGGAACTTAGACAGCCATGGACAGGCAAAGAAATTTTCTTCTCTAAACAGCGACTCACAAGCTTTGTGATACTTCTTAATACCTCGAAAGTTTTGGATTGCAAAAGTTGTATTGCAACGATACTTTTTTGTCGAAAAGACACTGAATTTAGTGTTAGCAAATTGGTGGCAAAATTGTACATTTGATGATAAAAGCACACAACTTGGAATAATGTCAGGGTATACCCTAAGGACATTTTTTTGCTGTAGGCCGGGCGTTACAGATTAGTTCCTCGTTGCCACAAAATTTTGTTTTTCCTACCATTTACCTGGTAATTAGAGTACTACTATCTTATAAAAATGCGAAATTTCATCAAAGTTCACTTTCAGCGAATATCACCTATATCGTTAGAAAGGTCCCAAAAAACTATGTGAAGAACATTTTTAAATACGGTCCGTTAGAAAAAACTGGAATTAGCTGGGGGCGGGGTATAAAAGCTGTTTACGACCTTGGCTTCACTTTTTTTCTCATGGGCCGAATGACTGATGTTCTTGCTCCAGATATATATGGAGCTCACTGCAAAATAAAGGCTTGATGAGTATTTCAACTACGTTTTAACTTAATTAAAATACACGATGGTGTTAGGAAATCATTAAGATTCGCGTGACTGCCAATGGCAACTCTCATTCAATTCCATCCTCGTTTGATCCAGGCGTAACTTCAACAGACTATTGACACAAACACAGAATGGAAAAATATGTGTACAGGGATAAATATGTCTTGTGTAAAAGGTGCTTGTAATTTCAAACATTTTCAGAAATATCAAGCCTATGCCAAAACTCCCAACCCCCTCCCCGTCTGGAGTACATTAGGATTAATTCTTCTCAAGGTGCTGCACCGCACGTTTTATCGAATTTCTATGGCGAGTGGTAACGGTTACGTTTTAGCAGTATGAGGGTTGGTCGGAGATTGCCCGCCCCCCGCCCCAACTTTGATAAAAGGCAAGTACAGAACTCGATAAAAATATAATTTCATATGAAGAAACATCTTCTCACCTATATTTTCCTGATGTTCTGTTTCTTTTATTAAGGTTACGCAAAGGCACTGTCTTCTATCCTGTCAACATCTGACCTGGATCTATAACTAAACTTTCTTATAACAAGGACAATGCAAATCATTACATAATAAATGTTATAGTTAAGTTTTATGCAAAACTTGGTATGATCCTTCCTCGTCTCTTGCGTATTGTACTTTGACCCAACTGACCATGAGTAATGTTTTGGCTGAACTGTCCAACCGCAATATAAACCATACGTTCGGAAGCCGGTAAGCGTAATCCTGAGTTAACGAACACTTTCAAAGCCATCTCTCTAACAACTTGCTTATAAACTTGGAGCCTTGAAACAAACGCACATGCAGAAATGCCCAAACAGCGAGCTAAATTTTAACCAAAGGTTAGCGCTATTCCAGGTTTGAACAACCGGTCCCTGACGTCATCGCTGCGTCACTTCACGAAACATTAGGCCTGTTTTATACGTTGAATTTTGGTCGCGTCGAATGGAATTAAGACAATAGATGATGATAAACCTCATTAATTAAGCTTCATTGTCTATTGTTTGAATTGCATTCGACGCGACCGAAATTCGACGTATAAAACAGGCCTTACACAGATTTTAAAAAGACGATTGAGAGCTAAGGAATTTGATTATTGTAATAAATTGAAGCTTTCTAAAATAACCTTACAAACGGCTAAGTTCGGGAAAAACTATCGGGTATCTGCTATGACCAAGGGTGGGTTGACTACAAAATTTTTGTAGTTCGCTGTAACTACAGCTACTTCAAAAATATGTAGTCAGCTACAACTACTGCTACTTTTGAACAAAGGTAGTTCGCTACTGACTACAGCTACTGCTTTAAAAATGTAGCGACTATTTCGCTATTTCGCTACATTTTTTAGTTTTACTGTATTTGGAGCATCTACTAACTCAGGCTGAAATGTAACCTATAACAAATCGACTTACGAGTAGCAACAGTAAACACAAGTCACAAAGCAACATTTTTGTAAACACTACAGTGTTCAGGAGTGCAAATTGACTATTGAGTATAAACATTTTAGTCAAAGAGCAAATAAATATAACTACGCC